GCTCTCTGGCTCGGCCGCATGGAGAAGGAGCTGGCGGCCGGGGATGCCCAGCTGGGGGCCGGGCCGCAGCCCGTCAGCACCAGTGACCAGGAGAAGGTACCGCGGGCGCTGCGCCGTAGCCCCCACTGAGCTGCCCCGGGTGCTGCGCCAGGAGCTCCCCAGCCCCGTGCCTGGCCGTGCCCCCACATGGCTGACCCGGGTCTCTCGTAGTTTGAGCAGGTCCTGGACGCCGAGCTCGCGCACCTGGCCCGGCTGGAGGAGCGGCTGGAGGAGGTGGGCCAGGCCCGGCTGGACGCTCAGGCCATCTGCACGCAGCTCAATGACCACAAGGTAGGAGCCCGGGGCCGGGGGTCGCGCCGCTGGCACCCTCCCAGCCTGGCGGCCAGTGCAGGCAGCGGCTTGGATCCTCCTGTGTGTGTGCACACCGGCCAGGTCATAGTGGTGTGTGCAGCCAGGGGCACGGGCACGCACATGTGTGCACCCCCATGCATGCACAGTCACACAGGTACGCTCACCCTGAGTCATACATGGCAGGCAGGGCGTGGGAAAGGGGGGAGAGCTCCCTGCCCCACTGAGTCATGGGTAGGTGCACGCAGCATGTGTGTGCACACCACCTTGTGAACCTTGTGCAGCACGCTTGTGCATTCACCAACTTGGTCACAGATGCATACACACCTCACATGCACACACACGACTTGAGCCTTGTGCACACACCTGCACCCCCACTAATGGAACCACACGCTTGTGTGCACACTGTGCATGTGTGCGCGTGCCAACCACATGCAAACACGCCCCGCCTGTGTCTTAGGAGCCATGGGTAGGTGAGGGCATGTGGGGTTGGGGCTGAGGGCGGCACTCACTGCCCCGCAGAGGAGGGGGCCTGGTGCTGGACCATCCGGCAGGAGCCCTGCTCCCCTCGGTGCCCTGGTCTGCCCCTGTCCCCTGCAGAGTCCCTCCTGCCCGTGCCCAGGGCAGCGGGACCTGCTACTCCCGTGCCTCTGTCTCACCAGCTCCTCTCCGCTGAGATCCTGCATCACCGCGGCCTGGCAGAGCGCCTGCTGGGCATCTCGGCGCTGCTGCTCCACGCCTGCCCCCCACCCCGCCAGCAGCACCTCCAGGTAAGAAGCCCCCAACCCGGCACTGCCCCACGCCTGCCCAGGGGACACCCCTCACCTCCACGTGGCCGCGGGCATGGGAGGATCGGTTAGCACCACCTCCTGCCCCGCTCCGTGTGCATGGCATACACGCGTGGGGCATGTGCACGGGGCTCCCAGCACCACCGCAGGAGCCGGCATGGGGGGAGGCTGCTGCTGCCCCCACACGACTGCCTCTTTGCTGCAGCCGTCGGTGCAGACCCTGCGGGAGCGCGCGGAGCCGCTGTTCCTGCGCAGCGCGGCCAGTGCCATGCAGCTGGAGCACGCCCAGGCCCTGCTGGCCCAGTTCTCCGAGGCGCACGAGGAGCTCGCGCCCTGGCTGCAGGAGACGCAGCTGGCGGCCGCGCGGCTCTGCCCCCACGACATCAGCTACGAGGCCTTCAAGGAGCAGCAGGGGCTGCTGCAGGTGAGGGGCCCGGGCCCAATGCTGCAGGGTGCCAGGCTCTCCCGTGCAGGGGAAGGGGCTCAGCGCTGGCAGGACTGGCCCGGTGCGCAGGGTCCAGCACTGCTGGGGGCCGACCGGGCAGCAAGATGCCTGGTCATGGGGTGGGGTGGCGCAGGGACAGGGTCCTGGGCAAGGGGTGGGCTGCAGGGGAGTGGCGGGCATTGACCGGTCCC